CCTATCTTAGCTTTGTACTGGAGCACCCACCATGGCAGGTGCACGGTAACTATCTGTTGAGTGAGGAAGGTATGTCTTCCCATGCTCTTAGATAGGACGGCTACTTTCCGTACTAAAGGACTTAATTTTAAAACTCTAACTCACTTTGCTGTATTTTATTTTGTTTTGTGTTTAATCATTTGGGTCAAATGTTGTGATAAGAAATCATTGTTCAATGCAGTTACTTGTGTTTATCTCTGCAGCTATTCAGTGAAAAAATAAGTGGTGCGGAAGGAACCAAACTAGATGATGAATTTCTTGACATGGAAAGGGTAAGAGAGCATTTGAATATGCAAATTGTATCGGAAATTGACTGTCCCTGTGGTATGAGATATACTACCACTATAAAGAATATTAGAGTGGAAACTAGGATGTTTAAATATAGGCACGGCTTATGCAATTGCAAAAGCAATTCTTGGGACCAACAGATGGCTTAGTGGTTACATCACCAGACTCCCACATGGCTGACTACAGTTCAAGTCCTGGACCTGGTGGCTTGAAAGCCACTCCAAGTGCATGTGCATGTGTACCTCAGATCCCGGAAGGAGAATCGAGAAGGGATTGTGGTATGCCCATGCCCCTTGGCAGGTGATTTCTCACTTTCCCTCTCACTGTCTGTCTGTCTGTCTCTCTCTCTCTGGCGAGCACATGCACCCTATGACAAAACAAACAAACTCTTAAAAAAAAAAAGAAAGAAAGAGAGAAAGAAAGAAAGGAAGGAAGAAAGAAAAGAGAAGGTTTTTTTCCCCACACTTTCAAGCCAGAATCAGACCTCCTGCTTATCCGCACCCAGCGTAGGCAGATAGAGGAAGAGGGTGGTGGGTGGTTAACTGGCTCCCTCCAGTGGCCAAAATCAGAATGTGCAGATGATGAGCATTGCCACAGTTATGGCAAGGCCCAGGAAATTGTGATTATATTTTAGAGAATCAAGATGTGTCTCTCACACTAGGCCCTTCCATCAATTTACTGTGTGGAGGGCTCCTATCTGTTCCGATGTGTGCAGCAGCTGCATGGCAGCTAACTTTTCTCCTGGATCTGCCACGACCGGGAGCAGCAGGAACTTGGATAAATGAATCTTCTGAACTGTAATGCAGAAATGATTGTGTGTGCCCTGCTTGCTTCACATGGCCGTTCTGAGAATCATGCAAAACATTAATTTATTTGAGTGAATCGAGAAGCATGACCAGCTTGGTAGAAATGATCATAACAGACTCCAAAGGAAGTCTCTGGAATCTCTGGCCCTTCGTGTGTTTTCTGGTCAGCTGTATGGCCTGTTTAGATGGAGGCAGAACCGGGACCACCCACGTTTTCTTTCTCTTTGTTTTAAACATAGCCTGGTCTCCATAATTAGACTCCCTAGTCATGAGCGGAGGAGATACAACAGAGCATCCACCCTCAGGTGTAACATCAAGGCCCCTGGTAGCTGGGAGACCTCAGCAGGTGGTGAAGGAAGTCTAGCTCCAGGCTCTGGCCCTGGGTCTGTTCTCTTCAGGATACTTTGACCCTGGCTAGTGGCCCACCGGGGTAGCCTCCTTTTCCGGATGAGAATTGTGATGTTTCTAGAAATGTTATGTCTTAAGGGGAAAAGTTTATTTCTTTTTTTGCTTCTGAAAAATGTTGATTTCTGAACATCAAAAACCATGGAAACATTTTCACATTGTTGATATGCCTGAAATTACTTTTTATTTTATTATTATTTTTTAATTTATATTTTTGTCATAGGGCAAGTGCATTGGCTAGAGAGAGAGAGAAAGAGAGAGAGAGAGAGAGAAAGGGAAAGTGAGAAATCATTCCCTGGGGAGATGGACACACACAGTCCCTTTTCTTCTGTTCTCCTCTAGGGATTTGGGGCATGCATGCACACACACCCAGTGCCAAGTTTCAAGTTGCCAGCTCAGAAACCACAGGGTCGGCCATGTGGGATCCAGCACCTTAACCACCATTGCCACTCACTGGCCCTGAGATTACTTTTTTAAACCTCTTGATATATATGAAAATACTGTGTGTAGTTGTATTACTAATAAAATGATTCATTTGAAAAGTTCACTTAAAAAGATCATTTTAGGAGTTTTAGTTTCAGTTGATGGACTGGGATTTTCCTTGTTTACCTCTATTTTTCTCCAAAAATCTCAGCAATTGGCAGAAGAAATAAAAGAATAAAATCTACCAGCTGTTTTAGTACAGCAGTGAAAAACATTGGCATAAGTAATACATGGACAGAGTTTTAAGGATTGTCCAAAAGAGATACACTCTCGATGGTATCAGATCCACCCAAAACAGACCCACAAAAATGAAAAAGTACTAGAAAAAAAAGTTTCATGACAAACACTAACCACACTAAAATAGACAAGCAATAGGAACATCCAAGTAAAATTGGATACTAAGAAAGCACTAAATGGAAAAAAGACTTTTTTATTCATGAAAAGCTGCACTCTGGGTCAGTCTGTGGCCTGGTGATTATGTGAGCTGGCTCCCACATGGCCGACTATAGTTCTAATCTCAGCTCTGACAGTTTGAAAAACGCCTTAGGTCTCCTGTGAGTGTGAGCCCCAAATCCCCACAGGATGGAGAACTACAGATGGTATTGTGTTGTGACTGCCCCACGTGGGGAGCTTTCTTCCTGTGGGGAGAAATGCTTGTGCCCTCTGGCAGTGAAAATACTGCCTCTCCCCAAAATGTTCAACATGTTCATTTGCATTAAAATAATTGTAATGGTGTTAAAAGTATTAAATTAGTGAAAATGACTATTTGTCCTTGTGTGAATTCATGGAGTTTGTCACTTACTAACATTTTTATTCTTTGTTTTGTTTTTAAGAAAATAGATGTTACCAATAAAGCTGTTGCAGAAATTCTTTCAAAAGCCACTGAATATCTTCAGCCAAATCCAGGTAAAGTTAGAACATGTCTTGAATATTCTATTGTTCATTCACTGTCACAGATAGGGATTGCTCATGGTGAGTTCGCGTTTGGTTGACACAAAACTCTATTAAATTGGCTTATTTTTCTTTTAACAATTGACATGGTCGAGAAACAGTGCTTGTGTTCAAATGATGAAATTCAGTTCTAATGTTGAATCCACAGTGACCAGTTAGTCCCAGTGAGTCCTGGCTGACAAAACAGAGCAGATCATTCTGTAGATGTTGGTTGACATCATTTGGACGGCACTTTGGTCTTAGCAACAAGGCCGTGCTGAACGTAGGCATTTTTTGATGACATGCTTCAGAAACCCACTAAACATTTTGTAAATATTTTATTATGCAGTTCTTTCTTTTTCTTTCTTTCATTGTTTTTAGGTTTTTGTTATAGATGTTTGCTCTTACTGGAGAGAAACAGAGACAGAGAGAGGGAAAGTGAGAAATGCCCCCCCCACCCATCCAGGGGGATAGTTACACTGCAGTCCCTTCTCCTCCATTCCCCTCTTGGGATTTTAGGCATGCATGCGTATGGACCCAGTGTTGTTTTCAAGCTACAGAGTCTGGGGCTCTAACTACGGTCGGTCATGTGGGAGTCCAGTGCCTTAACTACCATGCCACCTGCTGATCTGGTTATTTCCTTTGTAAAGTGTATTTCTTTCTTTCTTGTGAAAGAGAGAGACAGAGGTAGCGAGACCGGCACTGCCATTGCGCAGATTCAGCCCCAGTCATAGCCAGCCCAGATCACAGGCGTGTGCACGCGTGCCTGGAGTGCATGGGGAGGTTCCAGGACACAAACCCACAACCTTCCCTGTGGCTTCCGTTACATCACCCCAGTTCCACAGGCTGGTCCTATTTCTTTAAAAAAAAAAAAAATCTCCTATCCAGTTCTGAAGGTGTATATTAATTTGAAAAGAGTGTTCACTTTACAGCTCACATGCTGAATAAATGAGACATGAAGAATATGAAAAAGCAACACGGGGAGACTAGTTCATCAGCTTCTGAATAGGAGGCCTTTTAATTCCTCTGGCCCAGAGGAGCATCCATGGATGAGGTTTTCCTACGTTGTGACTTACAGCCACCAGGAGAGGGCGCCCCAGCCTTGAGTTCTGTGGGTTTCTACAGCCGCCTTCCCCACTTTTCAGGAGGATGGTTGTTCACATGTGGTGGCCGTGATTCCTTTGGCTGTAGGAACCCGCCCAGACCTCAGTATCTGAAATCGGGAAAGTAAAAATTGAAGAACATAAATGTTATCAAATATATCCAGGCAGATAGAAAGCTGTTTAAAATAGTATTGCTGGTCACTGTAAGAACCATAATATAATATTATCATCTCTCTGGTCTCGTCACTGATAGAAATGAAGCACACAGGTGCCTTTTCCTGATGTGTTAGTCCACAAGTATTTAGTAAGCGCTCGAGGCTTCCTGGGGTGCTGGACTGCACTGTTAGGACGAACAAACGTCGACTTAGACATGGAGAGGAGTCCACCAGCAATGAACGGCGTAGGGAGGGGTCCACCAGCAATGAACGGCGTAGGGAGGGGTCCACCAGCAATGAACGGCGTAGGGAGG